CAATCAACAACAAAAAAAAAAAGCAAAATCGAATAAAAAAAGCAATCAATCAATCAATCAATCAATCAATCAATCAAAGGTGGGGCGGGGCGACCCCGCCCCCACCAACCAATCAATGAATCAATCAATCAATCAATCAATCAATCAATCAATCAATCAACGGAAAAAGAAAAAAAGAAAAAAAAAGAAAAAAAACGCGTTTTTTTCCCCCCAATTTCGTCGGATTTCGCCCGTACCCCCCCCCACCAAAAGTTGATCTTTTTCGTTTTTTTTTTGTGTGGGGGGGTGGGGCAGGGGATGCGCCGCCACGTGGCGCTGCCAGATTTATGAACCCCCCTCCCCTGCGGCCGCCACGTGTCCGCGAATCCGCGCGTCCGCGCAGACGCGTCCGCGCGGACACGTCCGCGGGCTTCGCGGACTGGCCGCGGCCGCGGACTTGGCGACGCCTGTCCGCCGCCAGGGGGGATACATAGCCCTCCATCTTCTTCCTCCACCATCTCCTTCACCCATCCACCATAGCCGACCACCTTCCACTTTCTTCCTCCTCCATCTCCCTCACCTATTCACCATAGCCGCCCACCTAGCCCGGACGTCCAAAAGGACAACCCAAAACTCCTCCCACCTCCATCCTCCCATCACCCGTCCACCATAGCCAACCACCTTCCGCCTTCTTCCTCCACCACCTCCATCACCCATCTGCCATAGCCAACCACCTTCCACCTTCCTTCTCCACCACCTCCATCACCCATCCACCATAGCCAACCACCTTCCACCTTCTTCTTCCACCACCTCCTTCACCCATCGACCATAGCCAACCTTCTTCCACCTTCTTCCTCCACCACCTCCATCACCCATCGGCCATAGCCTACCACCTTCTATCTTCTTCCTCCACCGTCTCCTTCACCCATCCACCATAGCCGACCACCTTCCACCTTCTTCCTCCTCCATCTCCATCACCCATTCACCAAAGCCGCCCACCTTGCCCGAATGTCTAAAGGACAACCCAAAACACCTCTCACCTCCATCCTCCTTCATCTCCCATCACCCATCCACCATAGCCAACCACCTTCCACCTTCTTCCTCCACCACCTCCATCACCCATCCGTCATAGCCAACCACCTTCCACCTTCCTCCTCCACCACCTCCATCACCCATCCACCATAGCCAACCACCTTCCACCTTCCACCTTCCACCTTCTTCCTCCACCATCTCCTTCACCCATCCATCATAGCCACCACCTTCCACCTTCTTTCTCCACCACCTCCATCACCCATCCGCCATAGCCAACCACCTCCCATCTTCTTCCTCCACCACCTTCATCACCCGTCCACCATAGCCAACCACCTTCCACCTTCTTCCTCCACTATCTCCTTCACCTATCCACCATAACCGGTCACCTTACACCTTCTTCCTCCTCCGCCCTCCCCATCCGTCACTCGATGGTCATAAGTAACGAAGGCACCAAGGAGCGCAACGAACACTAGGAAGGGTGATTGGGTACGCTAGTGAGGTGAGAATGATTAGGTACTAGACGTTTTTTTTTTTTTTTGTCTCTCTCTCTCTCTCTCTCTCTCTCTCTCTCTCTCTCTCTCTCTC